CCAATCGTATTCCCGGGCTGCAACTTGATGAAGCAGGCAATAAGCTGAAATATGACATCGCGGCTGAATGCCATGCTGTTTTCGCCAATGTAAAAGCTGTATTGGAAGCCAGCGGCAGTAGTTGGGATAAGATTGTTGATGTGACCGTGTACCTCACGAATATGCAAACAGACTTTCCGGTGTATAACGAAATCTATAGCCAGTATTTTAGTACAGTACAGGCGTGTCGTACTACGGTAGAAGTAAAGAGTCTTCCTACTCCAATATCAATAGAGTTAAAAGTGATCGCAACAGTTGAATAATTCGAATACCGAGAACAGGATATATGCAATTTGAAAATACATTAGCGTTTGCTCAATCATTGGATGAAAAGGATGAACTGAAACATTTTCGCCAGCGGTTCTATTTGCCCCGCCACGGTGATAGTGATTGTATCTACTTTACGGGTAATTCGCTTGGGTTACAACCTAGATCAGTAAAACAGTATATCGACCAGGAACTTGATGACTGGGCCCGTTTTGGTGTGGAAGGACATTTCAATGCCAAACACCCATGGGTATCTTACCATGAATTATTCCCCGCATCGCTTTCAAAGATTGTAGGTTGCCTGCCACACGAAGTAGTAGTGATGAATCAACTGACGGTGAACCTGCATTTGCTGATGGTCTCCTTTTATCGTCCGACAAAAGAACGTTACAGGATCGTTTGCGAAGCAAAAGCGTTTCCATCTGATCAGTATGCATTCGAATCACAGGTAAAACATCATGGCTTTGACCCCGCAGATGCGATTATCGAAATAGCTCCGCGACCCGGCGAGCACCAGGTGCGCGAAGAAGATATCCTTTCAATAATTAAAGAGAAAGCCGACTCCATTGCACTAGTGATTTTCGGAGGCATCAACTATTACACTGGCCAGTTATTCGATATGGCCGCCATTACTGAAGCAGCTCATGCTGTCGGGGCATATGCCGGTTTTGACCTTGCTCATGCTGCCGGCAATGTAAAACTGGAATTGCATAAATGGAATGTGGATTTTGCCTGCTGGTGTTCCTACAAATATTTAAACAGCAGTCCTGGTGGTGTTTCAGGTATATTTATAAATGAGCGCCATGTTAAGCAAAAAGACTTCCCGCGATTTGCCGGCTGGTGGGGATCTGACAAAACATCGCGGTTCCTCATGAACAAAAATTTTGACCCCATACCTACCGCAGAGGGCTGGCAATTGAGTAACGCGCCTGTATTGCTGATGGCAGC